TGGACCAGAACTCCTGTAAACCAAAACACAAACCTAGTCCTGCCCTCAGGCTCCACAAACCCTCTTTAAATGATATCAAGGAAGCGCCAGAAGAGCAACGTTCCCCTTCTGGCTTCTCTGTGTACGACAGGGCTGTCTTTGTCACTCCTGCTCACAGTGGTACTTCTTACCTATGCAATCTGAGCATGAAAAAACCATAATTTGAGACCACAGTTTTCTGCAGAGGCCCTTTTTCAAATAACCTCAGACTGACAAAAGCAAGCTCCTTAAAGATGCAGCAAAATCACTTCATCACTGTTTCATGCATTTTCTTTTAAAGGACTATTAAGAACCCATTCTGCTCTGATAGAATTCTATTTTCACATCCACTTTTTTTTTCCTTGAAAAATAAGATTTCTCTCTCTCTGCATTATTTTTTTCTGTCTGTTTCTATTTGATCAATGATGATTTTTTTTTCCCTGTGCTTCCAAGAGAGTTGACATTAACATTTCTAGCTCCTATTCTCTTTCTGTTGTATTTGTGCATTGGAGCCATTCACAATGATGTCAGCTCAGCTCTGGGCATTGTCTCTGCTACTTCAATTCCAGCTGAATTGCTGGAGCTGGCAGGACATTAGCATTCACTTGATTGATTTAGCATACCCAGAGAATAAGATGGGTTTTGCATTCAGCTACACACATTAAAAACTGAAGAAATTACAAAGCAGTCTGAAGTTGGTGAGTTCTTTTGGAGTCACGCATCTGCTTCTCATGTATCTTCCCGTGTCTGAGGGCACCATTTAAATAATGGCTATTTCAATGCCAAGCCCTTCCTTGACAGTGACCATGGATGAAAGAAGAAAGGAAAGTGATTTAAAATATTGTTTAACATAGTTAATCAATTTAACAGATTCTAAAAGATCATACTATGCATTATCTCCTATAAAAGGTGGGCTACACAATTTCATCCTGTAATTCCAGCATTTCATCCAACAACTGGAGAGAACATTTTTTCAGAGCTAAATACTTCAGCCTGAGTTTTGAAATTACTATTAAAAATGCAACAGTGTATCTCTTCTTGGCTTTAAAGCTTTCTTCCTTTGTTCAGTGCCTACCCCTGTGACAAGGTCCTGGTGTCATACGTGTCTGTGCACACTTGCTCGAGAGGCATATGACCTACAAAGACCCCACATCCTTCCTGATTCCAGATTTTGAGTGTGAAACTAAGGTGAAGAAGAGAATGCAGGGCAACATTTTCCAACAAGGGGGCTAAAGTTTGGCTCCAGAATCCATCCTCCTCCATAAGAAATGCTGAGCCGAGCAGCTCTCTGTGAAGTGAATGAAGAAATCTGGCTTTACTTACCTGCAAACTAGGATCTCCACCTCACTATTTTAAGACTTTAGAACAGGGATTCCCAAACCTTTTCCAACAATCGGACTGAAGACCACAGCAGACATGTTTGTTCAATTATGCACTTTATGGGCTGAATGAAACAATGGAAGTGCCAGGTGTGTAACAGAACAGTAACAGTCGGCCTCTTCATAAAAGCCCTTTTCCTGCACTGTCTCCGTTGGCATCAGTGGGGGTTCAGCTACTCAAGATAAGACTTCACAACCTTCAGACCATGCCCACACTCAACCCCCTCTTCTGATGGAGTCAGATGGATGGGTAGAACTTGTGTCTTTTCCATTAGCTTCAGCATTATAAATATATGGGTGATGTGACAACAAAGCTGTCCGAGTTCAACCTCTGTATTTCTCATAATTTCAACCATATCTTCTGATTATGGATTCTTTCTATATGGCATAGAACTCAAGTGGTGTTTTAACTGCCCAGAAACCTCTGCAAGAGCTCACCTCTAGCTTTGGTTGCCCGTTCTGAATGTTACTGCACTGCTCGAGCCCAGCCTCTCGGCTGCACATTTACCTAACACAGAGACAGATGAGTCTGCTTCCAAGAGAGTGGACAGTCATTTGTGATCATTAACAAGCAGTCACTGTAAAAGATGACAACTCACATGTCAGCATTAATTGGAACGAAGTTCCTATCAAATATGTTTTGATAATAGCCAATCTCTCATGGACACTTTGGACCACACAGTGAGAACACAATGTTTGATGTCTTTTCTTGGAGGCAAGAAAGAGCATCAGAAGGCAAATGCAGCTGCACCCAGGGAGGAAAGACAAACAAAAAACAGCAGGGGATCAGCTGTCTGTTGAGACAAGCAGGGAGCCGTGGAGCTCTTCAGCTCTGTCAGCAGTTTAGGTCCTGGCACAGGTCTGTAAGTTTCAAAAGCTGCTATTGTTTGAGTGCAGTAGAGATACTACCAAGGATCAGCAGCAAGTAAGGGGTGAAACTGCAGCTAACGAGCATCCCAACAGATAGCATGTCAGTGCTCAAAGCTGAAGTCTGGGCAAGTCTCTATGCATACATGACTGCATGTTTTAATTAAACAAACAAACAAAAATGTGCACAGCCATTTGTGGTGGTCTTAGAGCTGGGCCAGTTCTCCTAGTTCGTTCCTACCGTGTGACTGAGCATCTCCCTTGGCTTTCCCCACTTAATTCCCACTTTCAGGCTGGCCCCTCCTTGGTTATGCCATTTGAATGGTTCCTAGCCCATGGCAGAATGACTTCAAACACTTACCTCCTGCAGCTCTTCAAAACAGTTTCTTGTAGTAATTTGAGATGGACAGTTTACAGGAGTACATGTGTGTCTAAACGAGCTCTAATATAGCTCCAGAATTCTTAACATTGGCTGTTGTGAGATCTTAAGCACTCCTATGCCATATTACTCCTTTTAACACCAAGCAACAATTTCAAGCAACAGAGAAGCCAGAAGAGTCTCTTCAGGTTTATAACATGCTTTACATGCTGCTTAAACTTTCTCTTCACTGATCTGCTGCTGGATAAAAGCAACGTTGAAAATATATGGAAGTGACAGTCAAGATCTGTAACTACATTAGTCATTCTGTCAGAGCCTTGGAAAGAACCTCACTGAAGTCAAGCAGGAAAACAATTTGTTGAAGCATCAGCTGAAGCAGCGAGTCGCAACTCATTCAAATCTCTCTAAAGTACATGATCAAGCAACTACTGAAGCCCTGAAATCCACAATTGATTCTGCAAATAGGAGATGCGTAAAACAAACTTTGAACTGATCTCTAATCTCTGGTATGTGATAACAACTGGAGTGTCCACCTATTTATAGCTTAAAAGCAGCCAAGTGGGAAAAGATAGGATGAGTGATGTTCCTTGAGTCTAGTAACAGAACTACCCAAACATACAAACTGACAATATTTTTCCTATCACAGTGTGTCATTGGGGGTTAGTTCCACTGAACGGAGCCATTCTGGCCACGCGCTGATCCAATCAAAATCACTGTATTGCAACATTTTTACCTGAACCACAGGCAATGGTTCCCCAGACCCAGAGTCCAGCAACTGATGTTCTTATAGATCTTTTGGCCAAAGATAACATCATTAAGCTTTGATGCCTACAGTACAGCCACGAGCTTTAAAAAAAAAAATAAAAAAAAAAAAATCACACATTACCTGAATAACTGAGGCATCTGGGGAACCCAGCCAGAGGCCAGAGAATCCAGAGCAGCTCATCTGTAAATTGACTTAAATAAAAACCACTAAGTTCAGCCAAGCAGTGTACACCTTTACCATACAGGAAAAACCTATATAGGACTTTATGCTAATCACTATGTTGGCCTAAGGGTACACTACAGTCGGCTAATAAAGAGATAAAACATGTAAAACCTTTTTTTTTTTTTCCTTTCCAAGAGGCTGGTGGAAAAAGGGAGCAAACTATTGTTCAGTGATGCTGCTTCAAATCAGATGTCAATTCTACATGCTTGAGAAATGATGTGTAGAGAGTGATTCTGACATATCTCTTTCAATCTGGAGCTCAGGAATAATTATCACTAAAGGAAAGAAAAAAATTTGTTAGTAGAAAAATATTTTGGCTTTACTGTCTAAATATTAACAATCTTGTGTGCGTGTTGTGTGCTATACCAGGGCAAACGAAAACAAGCGAAATGTACTAAGCTTGCAGCACTTCATTGTATGGGCTTGGAAATTCAGGGCAGTACATCGAATCAGTGCTGGGAAACTGGATCCTGGATATGGCTTAAGGCTGATTCTGCCTTTCCTTTGCCATCCTGTCCCCATTCATAGGATGGTTTGGGTCAGAAGGGACCCTGAAAATCATTAAGTTCCATCCCCCTGCCCTGGGCAGGGACACCTCCCACCAGACCAGGTTGCTCAAAGCCCCATCCAGCCTGGCCTTGAACACTTCCAGGGATGGAGCAGCCACAGCTTCCCTGGGCAACCTGTTCCAGTGTCTCACCACCCTCACAGTAAAGAATTTCTTCCTAATGTCTAATCTAAATCTACCCTCTTTCAGTTTAAAACCGCTAGCCCTCCTCCTACCACAACACTGCCTTATAAAGAGTCCCTCTAATTTAAAAGCAGTGAGTTTGTGCTAGAAACTTAAGCTGCTTTCCCCGATAGTCACCTAAACACGTTCACAGAGAGGTTCAGATGAACACAGCACCGCAGACACCACCCAGCCCCCGCCGGGCTGGCTCAGGGCAGCGGGGCACGGCCTCCCCACCGCAGCCGCCCGCGTTTTTCTCCACGGCTCCGCCCGTGCGGGCCCCGCCGGGGCTCCCGCCCGGCCCGCGGGCTCCGACGGGGAGAAGCTGCGGGG